ATGTATATATGTATATGTAATGTATATGTATATGTATATATATATATATATATACACATACACATGTGTGTGTGTGTGTGTGTGTGTGTATGTATGTGTATATTTATATATTGTATATATATATTTATATATTGTATATATATATTTATATATTGTATATATATATTTATATATATATATATATATATATATATATATATATATATATATATATATATATATATATATATAGTATATTTATATATATATTTATATATATAACATACCTATACATATATGTACAAATGCATTTACATATGTCTAATGAATATATCATTAAACATATATAAGCATTCACATTCACACATAAATTAATACAGTTACTTATACAAGTCTATACTGTAATGAAATATACAAAATTGTATGAAATAGAACTAAGTTTTGCATAAAAGAATTTCCTTTTTTTCACAATATTTATGCACCTTATATATTGTATAGAAATACATAATTGCATACATAAGTATATACATATGTGTATATATATATATATATATATATATATATGTATATATATGCACAATCTTATGTGAATATGTAATATTTAAAACTCACTAATTGTTAATATGGTTATTAGTTTTAATATAACTGTTTACAGTTATAATCATTATAATCATTATTATTAATATTACTCTGTTTTTGTCAGTGTTTTCACTATTACTATGATAACAATAATAATACGTAGTATTATTATTGTTATTATAATATTATTATTATGGTTATTATTTTTATTATTGGAAGAATAATGAGATTTATGATGATAATAATATTAGATGATTATTATTATTGTATTATTATTATTATTATTATTATTATAATTATTGTTGATTATTGATACTATATTACTAAGTGTTATTTTTATGTCTATTCTTATTGTTATTATTATTATTATTATTATTGTTATTATTTTTATTATTATTATTATCATTATAATTATCCTTATTATTATTACTCTTGCTTTTTATCATTATTATTATTATTATTAATATTATTATTATTGTTGTATCATTAACAACTATTAATTACTAGAAGGCAGGAAGGTAAGTAAGGAGGAACATGATGCAAGAGAGGCAGGAAGTGGACTCAAAAGAGGCTCGAAAGACAAGCTAAGTAACGAAGCAGGCAAAGGGAACCCAGATCAGCTCAGACCATTAACCCATTGTCGCGGGGGATGGCATGTACGTACATGCCATGCCCACTGTGAGTCGACTTGTTCGATTGTTTTTACACATAGATGGCTACACTTGTACTAAGTAACCAATGAGGCAATTACGAGAACTGCCTGTCTCGCCCGTTCACCCTTTTCATCGGTTTACGAAAATATTTAACATTATCCTAATTTGCTGTCAAAAATAACACCATCTATATTTATAGCACTAGTAAAAATACGTTTTTTCCCGCCAATTCAAGGAAAGTTGAAATCTGGACTAGCAGAGTCATCTATGGACAGAGATATTTCACAAAAATATAAAAAATGAGTACAGAATCTCCCCCATTTTTTGTTCAATTTTCCCGGCGGCAATGGGTTAAGTGGCTGTGAGAAGGTGAGGGGGAATTGTAGGGTAATAGTCTCGAGGACATAGATTATGAGGAGCTTTTCCTAGTAGAAGGAAACTGCTGTTCATGTTGATGTTTGGCGGCTGACCAGTTCGTCGGATTTGGCAGGAAAGGTTGTGAATGGCAGAAGTAGCAATAGGAGGAAACTGTACCACTGGTGCGCATGGAAGTAGTCTTGAGGGCTTGTTCATGCAAAGTTGTGTTCTGGGAGGGAGAGGAGATTAGCTGAGGCCTGGCAAGGTGAGGTTGTAAAGGGTGAATTTCATGGTAAAATGTGTCATGTTTTTACTTTTCATCAGTGTCATGGTAGGGATAACCCATCCTGTTAAGAAAATGGGTGTTGCTGATACAGAAAACATGCTTGAAGAACATATATGGAATGCATGAGGGAAGTGTATGTTCATCCTCCTATTCATGGGTTTTCTGGAGGCAGCATGGGAAAGATGGTAAGAAAAGGGATGAACCAAGAATAGAAGTGGATGCAAGAAAAAAACAAAAAAACAAAAAACAAAAAAACACTATGTTGATTTTCTCTTGTTTTTTTTCTGCCTGTTGTCAGTTTTTTATTCCAGTTTAAAGGCAGATTACTTACTAATTATGGGATACAGGAGATTTTCCTCTGCCTGTGCTACTTTGCGCGTCCTCACATGCCTCGTCTCCTTTGCCTCACCCTCTGTTGTACCACATTCCTCATCCTTTGCCTAAAATGCTTTCCTCTCATAAGCAGCCGCAAACCCATTGATGAAAACTAATTTTGTTTTAAAACTTTCATCATTATCATTATAGTTGATAATTATTATAATATGCTTTTCATCATACATAGTACAGTGTACATGCAAATGGTGCCACCTAGTGGTGCAAACATGTTTTTATTTTTTTATTATTATTATTATTATATTCTTGAGATGAATTAATTATTTGAGGAGTTCATTGATTGTGATTTGAATGCCATATATCCATTCCATCTATATCTATTTTCCTTTTACCCCATTGGATCTGGACCAAAATCCAGGTATCAGTTTTACCCGAGTGGTAATTCTCCTAAGGGTGTGGTTTATAGGCCCATTCCATATAAACACTCAAATGCAGTATCAAGATTACTTGCCTCCTCTTTGCAATGTCGTTAGACCCTTCAACGAAGATGCATTTTTGCAGTTTTAAGAGGTCTATATTTGTAATTTGTTTTGCTGAAACAAGATGACAATGGACTTTTCTTATTAAGCTCAATATTCTCTCCACATAGACTACACTCTGTGTAGTAACTAACATAGTTATTTGGGTTATTTTTAAAATATTTTCAAGATTTGATTTTCCATAATACACCCTGTACCATTAATATAATGTCGTCCAAGGAGACAACCTTCTCCCAGTTAACAGGTGGTAAACTTGATCTTCATGGACCAGTGGGAATCATCCTGGAGCTTACAAACCTACTGAGTCAATGCTTTGTGCATTCATGATGAGACGTCCCTGTTATCTGCTGCTTGGCTGCTTGTTCCCATCATCCACCCCTATACCTTCTTATTCTTCTTGTTCTTGTTCTTCTCTACATCAAGACATTCCCCTCACTTGCCCCTTGACCAAATAAGTTTATGACAAGATTTCCACATCGCCTGGATCCAGTGGGCATTTATATCTATCACAAGCAGTTTTATAAAGTGTTTTTTTTTTGGTTGTTTTCAAAGGTTAGTGTTGTGGCACTTACTGCACCTTTAGTGGATATCACAAAAGGGAATCAGTTTATATAGTAATTCAATGCCTGTGATTGGATATAATTCTTAATCATTGAATGCTCTTCTTAAATGGAAACAGTTTTGAAACTAAAGTAAATTTAGTGTTTTGCTTTTGGCTTAGTTATATATATGTGTGTTTGTGCAGTGTGTGAGTGAACGAGCAGGTGTTTCTTTGTATTTATGTAGGTGTTCGTGGTTTGTGGGCATTTGGGTGGCTGTGAATTAATATACATATTTACATATTTCCTAAACATGATTTTCTTTAGGTGTTCGTGGTTTGTGGGCATTTGGGTGGATGTGGATATGCATATACATGTTTACATATTTCCTAAACATGATTTTCTCATCTTGTTAAAGGCTGAAATTGGAAATATATATTGATAAAAGTAGTTCTATTTATGCAATAATCAACAGTGTTGTGGTATTCCCTTACAGAATATGTGATTTTTTTTTTTTTTTTTTTTTTCTCAGTAAGAAGGTAAGTACAATATCTCCTAAACATCCTAAGGTGATAAAAAATGGAAACTGTACCTTATGTGTTTTCCAGCACGTTTAAACTGTATTATGTGTCTCTATAGTTTTATTGAAAAATGTGTATATACAATTTTTCTTTCATTTTGACCTATCTGTAACTTTCTGTATTTTTGAACATGAAAATATCTGTATTGGGTTTACATGAATTCTTTCCAAATGAACAAATTGTGAATTTGACACATGGAGAACTGTTTTTTCCTTGATGTTAGTCTCTTTACTCAGAAATTATGCAAGAAAATATTGGGAATAAGTGTGAAAGTAGGCATATGATACAGAGATGCAGAGAGAGAGAGAGAGAGAGACACCCACTGAGACAGACAGACAGACAAAGTGAGAGAGAAAAGAAAGAGAGGAAAGCACAAGAGAAACAGACATATAAAGAATAGACATACAAAGAGTAAAGATAAATGGAACTTGCATAAAAAATACAGATTTTTGGAGTGCATTTATTAAAGATGCTATAGAGGAAAATAAGGATATAAAAAAAATCTTACTAATACACAAATACCGTCATAACAAAGCGTCTGGATTTGTACAAGTCTAACAATTCAGGAAATCACATATAAAAATACCGTAGAAAAAAAGGTAATGTACATGACCAAAAAGAAAAAAACAAGAACAGTAAAAAAATTGTTCCAGGCTAGAGAGAACAATACAAGGCTCACAAATAGTCCAAGAAAATGTTTCCTTCTGAAAAATATTTTGGTGATGAATTAGAGTTGTGGTTAAAGTTGATAGGTACAGTATCTGGTTCTTCACGTATTATATGACAATGGCTGGCAAGAGGTAAAGAATGAGTGCTTGAGTTATCATAGGTTTTCTGTTAACCCTCTGGCATCTCCCATCCATTCACGAAAAAGTAGAAAACCTAGTATTACATTGTGCCTCCCTCGTGCAGATAAAATGTAATATTGAATCAGCTGCTTGAAGTGGACTTACGAAATGAATGTCTGATACTGTGCGCATATCAATTACTATATTCAATACTTTTACTTATGCAGTAGTGGTGAAGAGAAATTCCAGCATCTTTGACTAACTTTGACTTACTTTGCATTCAATTTTCTTCCTTTTGTTGAAAACTATCTGTTATTCAGTGACGTCATTTCTCAGGCCAAAATAACTGAAGATAAAGTCTGTGAATAACTTCCAGAAAGTTTTAATTGACATTTTCTTACAACAAAAGGCAGTATTGAGCTTTCCTTAAACTGTAAAAATAAAGATGGACATGTGTAACCATTTAGTATGCAAATTAAGGACATGTAATACTTCAGAATATTCTCAATTCAAGTATTTACAGACTCTTAGTGTGATATTTTCTTATGAGAATGTCTTTAGAAATGACATTAAAAAGTTGTGAAAAATTTGTAAGACACTACTGAAAGCACATTATTCTCAGGACAAACTTCAGAAAATAAAAATGTATCCTAAACTTCACAGCAGATTACTAAAGAATTCCTAGACCATTATAATATTGAAAAATAGGATGAGATATATATATATTATTTTTATGAATATTTACATATTACACAAGATAAGAAATGAACTTAACCCAAAGCCACCAGGGATTGGCTTGTACATACATGCCATGATCACTGTAGGATTAATTTAATTGTTTTTGCACAAAGATGGCTCCAAGTCACAATGAGCCAGTTACAAGTACTACCTGCCTCACCTGTTTACCCTTTTCCATGATTTTTGAAAATATTTTCTGGTGTCTAATGTTGCTCTTGATTCTGTCAACAACACTATAATAATTATAATTCCGATAATAAAAACAACAGGATTGATATTGATAGCATTAGTAAAAAAGTGTTTTCCCCACAAACTAAAAGAAAGGTGAAATCAGATCAGGTCACAAGGTCTACTAATTGACTCCTTTGTGGCTAAGCACTTGCTGAGCCATCTTTGTGCATCGAGACACTTCACAAAACAATACTACAGTAAACACAAAATTTTCCCGGAGATTTTGGGTTAAAATAACTTTTCTGCATCAAAAAGGTCTGCCTATGAAACAGCAATGCAAAGAAAAACATTATTCATAAGTGCCCCTTTTTTTCAAACTGGAAAATAATTTCAAAGATACTACCTGAGTCTAGTCCGTTTACTACAAAAGCTGGAGCGTTTGGAAACTATATGACAAAATGGCACACAATAAATCTAGTAATATAGGAAAAGTATAGGGAGCTGGAAGAAAGAAAGAGAGAAAGAATGAGAGAGAGAGAGAGAGAGAGAGAGAGAGAGAGAGAGAGAGAGAGAGAGAGAGAAAGAAAGAAAGAAAGAAAGAAAGAAAGAAAGAAAGAAAGAAAGAGAAAGAGAGAAAGTAAGAAAGAGAAAGAGAGAAAGAAAGAAAGAGAAAGAGAGAAAGAAAGAAAGAGAAAGAGAGAAAGAAAGAAAGAGAAAGAGAAAAAGAAAGAAAGAGAAAAAGAAAGAAAGAAAAGAAACGAAAAAAGAAAGAAAGAATAAACTGGGATCACAGATTCTCTAGCGAAGTACCTAAAAACAACACAACCAGTCTTTTCAACATTTTCCAGCAAAATCAATCTCTCCCGGTCGCACCAAACGAAGTCAAACAGTCCGACTGGAATTAATCTTTGTACTAAGTCGATGCACTCGTCTCTCGTGCCTTAATTTGGTCCATATCCCGTGACACATTTTGATGAGACGATGATCTCTCAACTCTTTCGGTAAGGTGTGCGCGTTGTGGTACTCGTATCGCACAATTACCGAGGCTCCCTGAAAGCAATAAGGACATTGTGATTATTCGAACAAGTATGTCATAAGCGTCATGAAAAGAGAGGAAAGATATGAACTAAGGTAATAGTAATAATTAAATGGAATAGAAAGCAAGCAATAATGACTGTGATTATTCGAACAAGTATGTCATAAGTGTCATGAAAAGAGAGGAAAATTATGAACTAAGGTAATTGTAATATTTAAAAGAATAGAAAGAAAATATGAACTAAAGTAGTAATAATATTTAAATAGAACAGTAAGAAAAATAAGAACTATGGTAATAATAATACTGAAAGAGTATAGTACTTTATCAGCATTTCCTGATATTGGTTATTATCAATTTCATCTATTTTTTTTTTTCTTGTATACTCTTCTTTTTTAAGTACAAAATTATTTAAGAGTGAAGAACTGTAACAACCACTAACATCACACTATAGTCTATATGATAAATATACTGACTATAGACTAATTAAAAAGTAAAGTAAAAGAGATTAAATTATTAGTTTAGTTTAAAATAACATATAAAACACACACTAAAAAACACCACATATACAGACGAGCACGCATACACGCAATTATATATATCACAAACACTAACACACATACACATAGAAGTATATACCATACATACACATACATACCTACATGAACACATACAAATATATAAATATATACAATACAAATATAGATATACATATACATACATATCTATCTACCTATCTATCCATAGTATAGATAGACAGTGTATGTATAGATTCTATACAAATACACACACACAAACATACATACATACATATATGCATATATCCATATATAGAAAATTCATAAATTCTGAAACCAAAAGAGTACAATATGGCTTATGGAAATGTGTCGTACCTTAAATCTTCGCTGCTGGATCATAGATATA